GTGGAAACATCAAGACAGGCTTCATCCTTGTCATCCTCAAAAGCATAGCAAAAAGGAAACTTTGAAGAGTTTTGCCCAATAACAGGATTGAACTGTTGACCTTCGCATTACTTGATATCAGAAGACTGATATTAGTACGACGCTCTAACCAGCTGAGCTAATCGGGCTTTGATGAAGGTTTGTGATTCAATACTTACTGATATTCACATGGCACGGGAGAGCATGGAAGTTTGTACGGGACAGGTGACAATCCCTTCATGATCCGATATGGGTGAATATACACTCCTTGAACGCCTGACACAAAGGCAAATGAACCCTTCATGCACGCCTCCATATATCGCGAGATACGCCGGATGGTTGCTAAAGTCATCAAAGCACAACAGGCCTGTTTCCTTGCCCGGGAACGTATCCGGAATCTAATTAAACGGATTATGAAAGTCCTAAAGCGTGATCCCCGCGCACTCCTTGACCTTCACACACGCCCTCGCCACCTTTTGATATCCATCCTTTTGCCACTCTCGACTCGTCTCATTCACCAAAATGGTCTTCCTCACATCCAGCTCCGTAAACGCCACCTTCTGCCACTCCCGCTTGCATGTACCCCCTCATTATCTCCTCTAGAGTCCTTCGCTGTCGGGCGATTATCCGCGTACACTACATAGGTATGTGCTTGCATGCCTACGCCGTCAACACGCAGGCCAGCATCACGGAGCATATTGATCAACCTACTCGCGCTCTTTTTCTTAACGGACGCGAACCTCTTGATAGCGTTTTCATTATAAAAATAAAGCTTCACACTTTGGTTGACTTCGACGGCTGTTGCAAACGCAAGACAGAGGTACTCCTCCCCCAAAACCCTGTAGAAGATATTCTGTCTGTAGCCGGCGCCCTCGTCGTTCAGCGGCTTCGTGGACAACGTTCCAGGCGTAGCACTTACGATTGTAATGGTCCATGATCCCCATGATATGCTGGCTGGTGATGTCGGTTGCGGCTCCCGAAGCACTTGAGACCGGCTAGGGTGGCATGCAGTGAAGTTGGGCGGCGGCGAGAGGGATAAGGATGGGAAGAACAGCTGTCTATGTCAAGAAGGTGAGCCGCATCACGAATGTCTACAACTGTGATAGTTCTTGTGATGCTGGGGAGGGGGAAGGCGAGGTGAGAGGCAAGAACCATTACTCGAATGAAGAGTGAAAGGCTTCCAGTCGCCTTCTGTCAAGCATTTAGACTGAAGGCGTAGGCAATACACATCACACTACTTCTTATACCCTTGTGAGGTTGCTCGCTACCGTGGCAACGGAACCATGATATGGAGATCTTGCCATACTATTTACCCGCTGGTACCTTGATAAACTTCCATCAAGCGTTGATGATCGATCACATACTTCCATTTTCCCTCCCCATTGCTGAAAACTGAGACGCCGGAGGCTTGACCTGACCGTGAGGTATGCTCGTTTAACCGTATCGGACGTTGGCATCGCCGACAAGTTTCTTACGGGAGGTCTGGTATTCGGCTCTCCGCACCTCCTCATGGGCCTTGGCTTCTCCTGGGTAGATGAAGCGTGCATGCCACACGAGATCCCGGAACAAATGGCGCAGAGCCATGTTTACCGTGAATTAGCTTGGCTCAACAGGAACAAGTGAGTTTGCGTAGGTCATACGTAGGTGAGGAAGAGTGTTGCTATTCGACATCGAGGGTGATAACGTAAACAGACCTCTACACAACTCCTCGTCTGCTAGCAACATCATCACAAATCCCCAAGTGTCGACTGAGAGGAACCTACCTTAGAGTACACAGTAACCGATATTTCGTGCCCAAGGCTACGATGTAACCAACTTGAAGGCTTGCATGAACTATTGAATATCACGTACAGTGATGTCAAGTTTATCATCGTGGTCCTCTCGCTGGTGGACCAGTCGCCAAGACTCCAGAATCTGACATACGTCATATGGTGGTTTGGTCGATAATCGTTCTCGACACTCGCTCTGCCAACCAGAATAAATGCAATTGAGTTTGAAATAACGTCAAGTATGGATCCTGAAATATCCACACGCACTCAAACTAGGCCAACTGATGGAGATTGCCTATCCACGTACACTACTGTTCGGCGGTGGGCCGTCAAGGTTATACGTAACTGATGCCGGGTCAAGAAACAACGCCATGCCAAGACTCATGGCTGAAGATGGCCAGGAGACACTGTGTGGATGTAATTCCCCGCGATGCAAACTTACAAAGACAGGGGGCAACTAGAGGTTAGACGCTTTTGCAAGTCTGAAGTTCTGTAGGAGCCAAAAGTGAGGATGGACGATAAACCATCGATCCAAGTTACCGTTCATTCAATATGCCGGGGTATTAGTAGGATGAGAAAAAGCTCAATGATCTATGTAACACGCAGTTGGTGTTCCCGAACGCTCCACGATGAAATCAAGTTATGCCTGAAAGAAACCCAGAAAGCCAAACCCAATGCCGTCCCCGCTTCCTTTTTTTGTTTACTCCGAAACAGCGCCAAAGCAAGTCTCCATAATGATACCCGTGATCTGGTAAGGGTCGGCGTTGGACGCAGGGCGACGGTCCTCGAAGTAACCGTAGCCCTTGGCGCCGCATTCCCTAGGAATACGGATGGAGGCACCGCGGTTCGCGACGCCGTATGTGAAAGAGTCGATAGAGCCGGTCTCGTGACGGCCGGTAAGACGCTTATCATTGCCCTCACCATAGACGGCAATGTGCTCCTTGTGACGGGCCTCGAGCTTCTTGATGGCATCCTCAATGTACTTCATGCCACCCTCCTTGCGCATGTTCTCGGTGGAGAAGTTGGTGTGGAGGCCCGCGCCGTTCCAGTCACCGGGAATGGGCTTGGGGTCGAAGGAGACCTTGGCGCCGAACTCTTCCGACACGCGGTGGAGGAGGAAGCGAGCGAGCCAGAGGTGGTCACCCATCTCGATGCCGTCGCAAGGGCCGACCTGGAACTCCCACTGGGCGGGCATGACCTCGGCGTTGGTGCCAGAGATCTTGACGCCGGCGTACAAGCAGCACTTGTAGTGCGCCTCGACAATGTCACGCTGGACAACCTTGCCAGTGCCGACACCGCAGTAGTAGGGACCCTGGGGAGCGGGGAAACCGTTTCTGGGCCAACCGTAGGGCCTGTCGTTGATGTCGAGGAGAGTGTACTCCTGCTCAAGACCAAACCAGGGCACCTGGTCGGCATGAGCCTCCATCAACTTGGCGGCTTCATGTCTGTGGTTGAACTTATTGGGGGTGCCATCGGCGTTCCAGCACTCGGAGAGGACGAGAATGTTGGGGCTACCACGGAACGGGTCAGGGAAGACGGCTACGGGCTGTGAAGAAAGTCATGTTAGTGCCATGGTTCGGCAGAGAGTGCAAGAATGCTAAGGCTTGCTGTATCTTACCTTGAGGTAGACATCGGAGTCCTCGCCGGGGGCCTGGCCAGTCGAGGAACCATCGAAGTTCCAGATGGGAAGCTCCTCGGGGAGATATTGGCTCTCCTTCTCGGGAAGAGTCTAGAACAAAGCTGAGTTAGCAATCATGTCATGCGCAATGTCTGAAGCACATCGTCCGCGTTGTTTGCAGGTCGTCACTCATTCGGCACATCCGAATCACCGCATCCGTTATCGTTATGCATCGAAATCCGGGGTGCAATGGGATCGCCGTATTGACTAGCGGCTGGATTGGTCGGCATTGTGCGCAATCAATGCTCGCCGCGATAAGCACGGGTCCAGCCAAGAAATGCTTTCAGCGTCGGGCGGCGGCGGTCTCGACGCAGGGTAGGTAGCATCGTGGATTGCGTGTGAGTGAGCGGGATATGCTAGATTTTTGCAGGCGAGCGACGGCCGGTGGAGAGAGTGGAGTTCGAGATGCGAAGCCGGCGGGGCCATTTCCTTCTTGTCAATGCCGCTTGGGTTTCGGGCGTGGGTCCGCCGGGCAGCCGGTGGGCAACCGAGAGGGCGCCGGAATCCTCTCCCGAGTCGCGCAGCCATAAGGAAACGGGGAACAGATGAGCTGTGTCATCCTGTCACACTTCTCGCATGACTGCGCCACAATGAAAAGGCCAGGGCTGCACAGCTTCCAGAAGCCAATGCACCCGAGGCTGGTGCAGAGACCGACACCGCGTCACAGCGGGCTGAAACCGGTCTTGCCGAGACGTGAACAAAGCGTGGAAAATGTGAGGAAAAAGGATTCGAGATCATCCCACCCTCATCGTCGTGGTTGGGCTGCTTGGGTCGTGCACTCAGAGAGGACGAAGGGCAAATCGGGGGAGCCCGTCGATTGGCTGATGGTATGGTGGATTCGAGGATGCGCCGAGAGTGACAACGGATGGAAGAGTCCATGAAACAAGTCGCGAAACAACGCGCAAAAAAGAACCAACAGATAGACGAGAAAGAAACTCACCCTCGACTTTGACCTGGTGCCGCCTTCGCTGTCGATCCAGATGTACTCGGCAATAAGCTGGCCGTTCTGGGGAAGACGCAAGAACTTCTTGAGGTTCTCCGCATTGGAGAGGATTGTTGCTTCTGACGCCTGTAGCCCGGGTGTGGTCAGTGACCAAGTTCCAGCATGTATACGTGCCAATGACCCCAAACGACAGAACCTATCGCTCAGGTGCAGGCTGGGATCGTTGGATGCCATAGGCGCCGTATGGCACAGAGGGTATGGGTACTCACCATTTTTGCTGTGGTGTATGTGTTTGTGTATGTGAAGATGAAGAATATTACGTATGGACAGGAATCCGGGGTGTTGTTCGGGCAAGCAAAGTAGTAAGGACGTGTTGCAATATAAAGGCTGGTGCAATGGGGTATACTAGCGCCCAAAAATATGATAATGATAAAGAGAGGAGACAACAGATACAGACTGCAGTTTCAGCGGGGTCTGAGGCTTTTTATATTCTTTGCTTTATGTCGCCAGGCCTCCTCACCGTTGTCGCAGAGCAAAGATACATCTAGGAATGCGATGAGGTACTCGAGACACGGTGCAGGGTACGTGCGGTACGGAAGCCAATGTATACCGTGCATCAAGTCCAAGAAACTTTTTTCTAGCCTTGGATCCAGAGATAAGAAGCGGCACTTTAGGAAAACAGGGGTTGCTAGCCCAAAAAAAAAAAAAACTGGCGGGCCAAGCGACACTCCCCGGAGAATCGAGAAATGCCTGAGTGCGTGTGCTGTGTGCGGCGTCGTGGGTTGACACACGCAAGACTTCCATCCAGGAGCCCGTGCATGCCATCTTGACGGTCCGCCCAAACGAGAGTGGGGACTAGTCGAGACAGTCTAATTCGGTGAGTTCAGTGGGGAGGACAATTACTCTTGTCAACGAAGCCTACCTACTGGTCACAGTCAAGAGCCCAAGAGCCCGGCCAGGTCGTCAGTGGGATGGAGAAGGCAGGGCGAGACAAGGCGGGGGCGAGGCGAGGGCTGGATTTTTGCTAGGTACCTACGTTGACAAATGTACAGTTTAATGTAGTGTACTCCTCCCCAACACATGTACATCCTGAGGTAACGACGATACACAGGAGGTCCAACTTGTCGTAGGTACGTATCTACTCGTTCGGTCGTCCAGGAACAATCTCACTCTGCAGACATCTAGACCAACGACACCGACCATCGGTTCGTCTTTACTGCCTCTATTGTTTTTTCATAGCTTCTTTTTCCAGGACATTATAGGCATCAATTTTAACTAGACATTGTCACTGTGTTCGTTGGTAACCTCTTGATACGTGTAGTCTCCGACGTGTCTCTAACGATCCATGCAGAATTCTAGACCAAGGGAAGTCGGTGTTGCTGTGCACTACCAGCGAGCAGACTAAGTGTTCCCCTGCCCCGGGTGTTAAGTTCTTCGCTGTTGCCCTTCTGTGTTCTATTTCAGTCGGGGCACTGCACTCCAGAAGATAGTGGGCACGTTTGGCACATTTGCCGCTTTCACAGGGTCTCAACAAACCTAGATAGGGGTCAGTGTACCTGTTACGACAGCACCGGCAAGCGGCAGCCTTTCACGGGAAATGCCCGGTTCATGATCGTCGGAACCAAAAGAGATGTTCCAAGTTCTTCTCCCATTACGTAGAGGTAGAGAACTGGGGACTCATCCTCATCTCCGAGTTTTGCTGTTCAGTAGTGTAGTGTCGTGACCGTCTTTGCGTCTCGCTGTGCGTTTGGCATCCGCCCGTTGGTCCAGTGTCCACCCGCTCGTCCGTACATGGTGTCATTCCAGCATCTCCTTTTTTTTTTTTTTTTTTTTTTTTTTTTTTTGGTAGCGTTTGATAGTTTGGATTGAGCGAGTTGAAGGCGGTAGCTCGATAGAGTTTGGCAGCCGCCATGTTGTTTTACATTGAAGCTGAAACTTTTCTACTTGGATTGTATTCTCCGCCTTCGTTGCGAAAGGCTTTTAGAAGTGACGATGGCTTCCTTCAGGGTCGTCGACGACTTGCGGGGAAATTGCCACCGAGGGGTTGAGGTCCCCTTCCGACTCGAGGATCGAGGGTGAATGAGAAACTACACACACTACCGATGGCTTCGGCTCAGATGCAACTTTACCCGTTTACAAGATCGTCATTACCTCGAGTGTTATAGGTAAAGGTGGACAGCTGAGGATTAAGTAATTCCCGCGTCTTGTATCGTGGTCACCTACGTTATCCATGCCTTGTCTTTTACTTGAGAGAGCGTTTGATGCCTTGTCATATAATATCTGGACGAGATATTTCTGTCAAGCGGGAGTCTTTAACGATACCTGTCCACGCGGCTGAAAAGTAGAATAGAGTGTGGTGGTAACGTCCAAAACGGATTCCAAGGGTGCACGGAGGCGTGGGGTGGAGTGTGACGTCCTGCCGCGACTTTGAATGTTCCACAGCATCACAACTCACAAGCAGAGTACGACACCACACACAAAATCGACATTGAGGGCATACACCCTCATCGTCACTGACTGGAACGATGGAGCGGGAACTGTATTCCATTCCAAAAAAGATAAAAAATAAAAAAAATAAAAAAAATACTTCCAACCTCGCCCAACAGGGGGGGCTGATCTGTCGAGTCATTTGGATGGATCTTTGGTCGAGGATCTTCCTCTCGATGCCCGGCGTCCCTGGCGCTCCGCTAGCGGTCATCTATCCCTAAACGAGCGTGCCTGTTGTCATTCAAGAAATCGCTTCAGGCATCGTGACCGTACTGCGTTCCACCGGTAGTCCACCGTCGGCACCCCGCTATGACTCTTCGGCCCGGAGGGCTCCTCTCTCTGTCAGGCGGAAACACTGGCGGATAAGGTGGGCGGATACCTTTCAGGTTGAGCAAGAATCGAGCCGCGATTGTCAGTTCCATTGAAAGAGGGGCAAGAGGAGCAGCCGTGGGCCCCTCTTGTGCCTGCAGCTTGCCAGGGGCATTTACAAGTTTGAAGTGTTTGTTGGTGCTGACAGTTGACATATGACCGTGTAACGGCTCGAAACCCCTGAATCCGGGGATGAGAGTTCTGTCGTGGAATCTTGACATTGCTCCAGATCCGACCTCAAGAGATCCTTCGTCCTGTGGAAGGTTTCAAGAACTTCCAGTCCATCTTCTTCAACTTCACATTGGTAGAGAATGACGACCTTCAACCCAGCCCCTGCCAAGACCGTATCCTTTGTTTGTTGACATCATCTGGTCACGCTTGTGTTTTCTAGGTACCTATCCACCCAGGATTGAAACTGTATATCTATTGCCCCTGTTCCTATAAAAAAAGTACCTATCTTAATGCTAATCGCATGAACTCGTGTCGAGTACGGGTTCGTGATAAAGAGATACAGAGAGGAGACGGCTGACTGGCGCTGAGTGCAATTCTATCCTTGTTTATTCCGATTATTGTACACACTGTGTACAAGCGCTCCGTCAGTCCAAAGTCAGGCGCGTGGTGTCCAGAATTTTTTCTGTGTGGAATCTCGGTCGGCTAGATCGTCGTCGTCGACGATAGTGCTCTTAGCAAAACGCCAGTCCTGAACGAGTACAGCCCCGCAACATATCGTACAGTTTGTGCTTCCAGAAACGCTGTAAACAACCTGATTTGAGATGACGAAGATTGTCTGACTTGCCGGCTTCAAAATTCCTAAGTTTCGGCATTCATCGTCTAGCCTCCCATTGAGCCAGAAACGGACTGCTCAAACGCAGATGGGTCACCAATGGGAATCAAGTCAAAAGTCAGGATGGAAAGTCAAAAGAAGAAGTGGGACCCCCAACAAAAGGAGCATGAGTGAAACCCGGAAAACGTCTCGCCCTTCACTTGCACTGCATACAGGTACCTATCCGTTGTTCAGGACCTATCAGGCTACCTATGCCGCTATGGTATCATCTTAGCGCAACCTTTCAGCGCAACCGTTCGGCTGCAAGGCCCAGAACAAGCCGGACCTGCAAACCGCCCACACAGAGCAGCATTGGCGGATCGGTGCAGCATCGGTACAGCCGCCGGGGAAGGGCAACAGGCGAGCGTTAAGTACCTGTAAAGTATGGATCCGTCCAGGACTGCCCACGACCCGCCCAGCCCGACGGTCCGTTCTCGGGGAGTCCCAGGGACCATCCTTGCATCCTTGTAGTTTTGTAGGTAAGAATAATTCAATTGAATCGCCCAATTCCCACGCCATCGATGTGGCTATCACAGCCGATTCGCTCTTTGGCGCTAGGTAGTGCCGTGAACACCACACTGAACCTTGATCTTATCGCAAACTTCTCATTGGTCGCTTATTTGATGATTTCGCTCCCACTTTTTCCATCTTCCCACGTCTTGTCGTACCGTGTTCTTCCAATCTCTTCCATATCGTTTGAGTTTTTCTCGTTTGAAGGGGTGTTGAGGACTCATGAGATTCTGCGGTTGTGTGTGCTTTCCATCTGCTCTTTGGACAAGGTTGGGAAAAGACGAACTGCAAGATCCACTAACGGAATTGGCGGTAGATCATCGCGAAACGTGTTAGCTGAAGTTCCACCACACCTTCCATAGAAATGAAACCCCCGTTCCTTTTCCGTGAGCCCCTGCATACCTAGGTATGTTGTTCCCTTGGGCTTGGCCACAGATCCACGCCTCTTTCCGTTCTTTCCCCAGAGTCTGCCATGTCTTTGCCCAACCCGCATTTTTCTCGGCTCCTCCCCGCATTCAGATCACTGCTCCCCATGAACCCCGGCCTTTCCCGAGATCTTCCCGTAAGGATGTCAAAGTGTGGTTCCAGCCTTTTTTCTTTTTCAATAACCTCCGTCGGTAGCGTCGTTTCCCTGCTGGCAAGGGCCAAGAAAACACACGTTCCAAAGGACGACACGGAAATAGACGAGACGTTTTGCAAATCATATGCCTTTTGTTGTCGTCCTGTTGTTGGCCTTTTCTGCTTTGTCTTCCATTCCAAGCCTCCTGCTTCCGGATGACCAGAAATACGAAATATGTTACAAATAATAATGGGTTTCAGACCGCTTCTTGTCCGTTTTCCATTTACGACGAGACCCAACTCCCTGTTGTCAAAATGCCTCAGTAAAAAAAAGTTCCTTTGGTCACCTCAGTTTGCTCAATTGCTTGGTTTTACGTCCAGTCCGTCAAATCACTGTGACAGAGACGGACCAGTTTGGTTCGTTTGAACCGTCCTTTCTTCCCACTTGAACTCCGCTCGGAGAATGACCGGGCTGATGTGATGTTTTCCCAACACGCGTTAAATTCCAACATATGCGTACGTAACAAGTGACTTCCCATCACACAGTCACAAACCCATTCGACCTAATTGTGGAGCAGAAACATCCAAGAGAAGAGAATGCTACCATCTGACTTGGACCGAACTTCATCTGGAACCCATGGAGTCCAGAATAAATCATGATGGGGCACTGGGGGCTTGCCATCAGTGACCAG